CCTGCCCCCCTCCCCCCACCATTTGGACGGATCCACGCCAGGCGTAATAACCAAGCAGACTGATTTCAGACAGGTAAAAAATCCCCAGATGGGTTACACAGTCAGATGGGCCCCCAATCAGGACAAATACATAACCATACACCTAGACAGCCAGATTTCAGAGGACAGTCCACAGCCGGTTGGATGGACCTCCAGTCAGATTAATAAACTAACACCTTGACAGATCACACCCAGCAAGAGAAACCATCAAAAAGACCCCTCTCCCAGATAGGCAGCTAGCCAGATACCAGTCAGATGGACCTCTAGGTGGACAGACTCCCAGACAGACATAAGCAAATCCTTAGCTGAACAGACACACAGACATCCTCTCAGCTAGACAGACCCACCACCAAGTGGGCAGACTGACAGACCTAGTCAAACAGACTCCCAAGTAGCCAGATGGACTCCTAGCCAGCCAGATAGACCCTTGATTGCACAGACACCCCAACCAGCCAGACAGCCTTCCAACCAGGCAGATAGGTGGACTTCTAGACAGGTGGTTAGTCCCCACCAACTCATCAATTCCACAAAGCCCACAATTTAGCAGACAGATTGATGCACCACCATCTGGGAAGACTGCCAGGTAGATCCCCAAGCAGTCAACAGGCCAGAAAAGTAGACGGACCCTCAGGTAGATAAGCATCCTAAGCTAGACAGATGGCCCACTGTCCAGACCATCTACCAGCTGGGTGTACGTTGCAAATCAGCGGGTCCTTTGAATAGGCTAGATCCCTGCTAGCCGATAGGGCCCCATTGGATGGATGAACTTCTAATTAGACACATGACAGATGACCCCAGCCAGACAGTGAGACACTATGCCCAGTCAGAGATAAACGGACCCCCAAGCCAAGCTGGACAGATAGAACCCAAACCAGAGGAACAGATGGACCCCCATCTGGAGAGATGAATGGACCCCCAACAAGTCAGACCCTATTTAGACAGATCCTAGTCAGACAGAAAGACCCCAAACCAGGCTGATTCTGAGCTGTTCACATAGACCCCTAGCCAGACAGACCCCCAGCCATTGAACTGGATGCCAGATGCACCAGTTTGGCACAAATCTATGGCTAGTGAGACAGACATCTAGCCTCACAGACAGATGGACTGACCCCAGACTGACAGATCAGTGTGTAGCCAGATCGGCTGATAAACCTCCAAGTAGATAGCTGGATAAATGAACTCCAGACAGACTGAATCTCAACTTCACAAGATCCTCAGGAAGACCCCTGGCTAGACACAACCACAGACCCTCAGCCAGAAGGATTGCAGCCAGACAGATCTCCAACTAGGCAGGTAGACACTCTGTGAGCCAGAGAGATCTCCAGCTGGACAGACAAAAATGAGCCACCCAGACAAAACAAACAGTCCTTCATCAAGATAGATTTTAAACCAGACAACCCCAGGTGGACAGAAAGACAAGAGTAAATTTATACTTGATGCTCCTAAACCCTGATCTTGCTCTGTGAACCTCTCTCCCCATGTTATCTTCCTAACAATGTCTAGTTCATCCAGGTGGATTCCCAGCCACTCTTCCCCAGCACAGTGCCCTCCCAAGGCTATTGGAAAGTATCCTGTGTCTGTGATGAGCATGGGCCACTGAGCCCTTCACCTGCCACCTGCCACCTGCCCAGCCACACCCACACCCCTCACACAGTTACTGTGAGAATTCAGTAAAAGAGGGAATATAAAGATTTAGTTCAGGAGCTTATGCTTGATAAATGTTAGACTATAATCATGTCTGGGCCCCTGTATTCAATATTGGTTCTAAGACAAGTCATTTGCCCTTTGAGTGTTGGTAAAAGGAAGTGAAACTTGCCTTGGTGCTTGTTGGCATTGGACTTAATTTGTCAAGTGCTGTAAGGTCTCTGTACAAGATGCAGTGAACCAGCAGAAACCAGGAATTTGCAGAGAAACCTAGGGATTCTCCAGTTTAATGGGGAACGGGAGGCCAGCATCACCTGGAGTCCAAACTGTCAGGCAGAAATTGGAGCTGACCTTTATGGAAAGAGGCAGGAAGGGAGACCCAAGGCTGCTGGTAAAAGAGGAAAGTTGAGGTGTCATTTAGAGTATAAACTGGCCTCACCAGCCTGTTCATTTGGCTCCAGAGACCAGAAGGGGAAAAGCAGCAGTATCTTGGAAGAGAAGCAGCCCATGGCAGAAGGAAGAGGCATATTTCCCTCCTCAGGGGAGGGAAATCCATGCCAATTAGAGTATTGGTCTCTGGGGTCTGTTTTGAGGCCAGTACCCACTCAGCCCAGTTTCCTGCCAGACACTATGACTATGGGGTACAGTAGACAGATGTAGGTAAGATTTTCTTATTGACTAAGTCTAAGGTTGAACTGTTTGCAATTCTTAGCTGCCCATTCAAGACTGAATGAAGGGTTTTCCTGCTTTGATTATCTGAGGAAGGTGATCAGCAACATAGAAAGTCTGTAGGCTTGCAAGGCAGAACATGCAGGAGAGTGTTGGGTGGGGCCATTTCCATATTTTATCTCATTTAATCTTTAAAATAATATTTATGAGTAAGTATGGCCACCGAGCCCATTTTGCAGATGCAGAGGAGACTCAGAGAAGATGGCTGTTAGTTTGAGATTCACACCTAGATTTAGGTCTCACTGTTTGGTGGTATAGAAATATAGGGCTCTGAGCTACAGAAGCCCTAAATCATTAAATGAATATAAATAGCTAGCACTGAGTGCTTGGTATGAACATGGCCTGAATGATTAATCTCCAGAGCAATCCATGCACACAGGTAAGTTTGTTATCCCCACTTTACAGAAGCCATGAATAACTGCAATGAACACAGCATCGTTTGATATGTCTTTAAGTTGGGCTGTATCATAGTGATTAATAGCTTGGATGCAATCACTTACTAGTGCTATGATTTTGAGCAAGTTTTCAGTTTCTCTCTGGTTCAGTGAGTTTCCTACTCTGTAAATGGAGGAAAATGTTACTTTTATCATAGGGCTACCACAC